TCATTTTCCAGAAAAGTTATGGCCTTATAATCGGATGATCATTTTCCAGAAAAGTTATGGCCTTATAATCGGATGATCATTTTCCAGAAAAGTTTTAGTCTCATATTAAACGTTTTGCACTCGTCGTGCTAATCAATTCCTATCTTGATTACATTGTTTTACTCGAAAATGTTATTCAACCAATCCACGTTTTTTATTATAAGTACCACTGTCGCAAGCACTAACAAGCAAGCTCGTGGTTTCTTGTGTTATGTTCTCCATGATTCTAGTTGCTCTTACCCCAGTTTTTGCTTCGTAAAGGTGGCGATTTGCTCTCCACCCCCGCCATACCTTCGCGCGTCTCTGATATCAAAACTGTTTACTGTATGGCTCTTAACCTCTTCTAAAACATCTCACTAGAACACTATTGTGAGCTCCTGTCGCGATGCTAGCCGTTGGCAGTCATCGGATTCTTTCACTACAATAAGCCTCATCACAAGAGTTCACCCACATCCTCGAGTTTTTAACACAAAGAACTCACTCTTTGTTTTGCGGATAATCGTTATCATGCGGTCAACACTGTTTTGTCGAGACTCACTGCGACACCTGTGAGCTGACCTCCAGGTCCAATGATGCTCTCCCAGACAGCACAAGTGTTTTGTAAATTTATTAACTACCCTTAATGGAGTTGTCCGAAACAATTTATCGTCATTTTTATCTTTGCTAAAGAAAATCTAGACAAGCTGGAAAAGCAAATAAAATGGGATATACGAATTGTCATGAACATAAACATGAGAGTGATTTGTCATGTCACATATGTGAGGGAAAAACACAGAATTCCCACTGCTAGAGATATATTCAAAGATAGATCAACACAATATCTTCCTTTATTAAGCCAAAGCAGAACTAGAGCATTTAACTGCCTGGAGTTTCCGAAGTCTAATTTCCGTGTTAATCATCGCACCGGCTCAATTCTCCTGCCAGGATTGTGTAAAACCGAATTTCTTCGTAGGTCATTCCTATGTACATTAATAAAAAGTTTTAACTTGGTAACTCAAAAAATCATCTCTATGAAGAAAACCTGTACGCTATCAAACAAATTAATTTAAAAAATGCATACTAGATGATAATTTCTAATACATATAAAGGGTAGACTCCACCAACACCCAACTGCCCCCTTACTTTTTAAGGAGAGTCTTAAATAATTTTAAATAATCTTATATATTCAGTGACCTATGAAACCTTTTTTTATTCACGTATTTAATAATAATGTACACTTGTTCCATCCACAATCAGTTTTGAAACTGCAAAAGTTGATGCAACAATAAAGTGTTTTCTCTCTCTTCTCTCTCAAAAAATTATATGTTTTTATCAGGAATTGTAGTCGGTGCTGCATGCAGTCATAACCTGCAGCCAAAATTGTCACCCATTTCCTACAAAAACTCTGGGCTCTTTGATAAATAATGAGAAATCTTTTTTTTTCGGAGACGAGATTGAGGTTTCTCACAAATGTTTCTTTTTTTTGGGGATTCTGAGTTCCTCTATTTTGTTTCTGCTTGTTTGCAAGGTCCTTTGAATTTGTGGTTACTTCGACGCTTCTGCTCACTTCCCCTCCTCCTTGGCTATAGTCTGCTGATTGTTTTGTTTCTCGAGTGCTCTCAATTCTCTCACTGTTAAAGCAACCATCAGATTAGACATGCATGATCATTGTACTGTTTCTTACTGATGGTTCATTGAATGACCTGTCTCATAAGTGAGCATCACTTTGCGTTCCAACGCTTTCTCAATTGTCATCTTGTGCCCCGGGTAGAGAAATTCGGTCTTCTACTGCAATTTTGCTCCGCTCACCTTTGCGCGAACGTCTCCAGCAGCCTTTTCAGCGCAAAAGAGATCCTTCAGTCAAATTTTCCAAAAGTTCCACAAATTTCCACAGTATAACTAGCTCCTCGAGTTTCACAAGCTTCTTCAGATTCCCAGGTTTTCTGAGATGCCCTGCTTGTGCTGTTTTCCACTCGTACTTTCTCTGTTTCCTGGTCACATTAGCAGCCTATCAGGGACTACCAGTGTTGAATTGCGTTTTTTTCTCCTTTGGGGTCTGCTTTTGTACCACGGGGCTCCTATCCCCACCAAATTCCTGCTAGCGAGGGCGCAATCCTCGAATGAGAGAGTGATGCATTGGTGCACTCTCTCACTTGCAAAGAGAGCAAACCAGAAGTAGCAGGGAAAAGAATTTGTGTTCAGTTACTTCAAAGTTTTATAAGCTTCGATTTTTTCAATTTGATGATTGATACACAGCACTTGTATCTTTAACGTCGATTTTTACCCAAACTTTTACTGGTATTTCCCCACATAATTGATAAATTTTTTCTGACAAGCGCCATATTGATTTAGAAGGTGCTTTCTTATTCAACTATTAAATGAAGAAATATATGATAGATTATACAACTATACTAGTCAGTATACTTACTTATAAAGTTTTCATCAATCAATTTGATTTTAAGTAGAATGACGAACGACAAAAATTTGATTCACTCTTAGTGTAGAACTCCAGACCGTATATCCACATGGAAAGGAACAACAAACAAGCTGTACAGCTCATCACGACGAACCGCTGTTGCACTCCTGCTCACCCGGGTTGACCAAAAATGCTAATCATACAATTTTCTTATATCCAAAAATGCTAGCCAAGCAATTTTCATGCAATTCCAGAAGTAAAATAAATGAAAGGTATATGATTAGTAAGTTTTCATATATGGAAATTGTATGACGATCGCTTTTCCATAAACCAAAAAAGTTTTTTAAAATTTAACTCTCAAAATTTTTACATGGTGTCCGTAACCAAACACAAGTGACACAGACTTTACTTACTGAAAAGTAGAGCCACTGCAAGTTTTAGTGTTCCACGATTTCGATTCTTTGAAAACGGCCTGAATTGTCTTAATTTTGCCATACACAAACGATCTAATGAAAGTATCAAACTATGGCACAAACGATATAATGAATAAAGAACAATCAAGGCATACAAAACTTGCTATACAAAATAAATAGGCAATCTAAGCGTTTTTGAAAACAGTTGTCCAGAGAAACGGAAAAAACTCATTTTTTGTGTGTCCAGGACTACGTTATGCACACAAAATTTTACCATTTGAGTGCAATTTTTTGGAAAAATATTTGTATAAGTTTAAAACTTGTTTTTCGAAACATTTTGGTGCAATTTCAAAACTATTTAGAAAAAGTGTCGCCATCAAAAAACTGCTATTCGCAAATTTTCCAAATCATTACGAGACCAAACTGTGCACTGGATAGGCGCGCAGTTTGTATGCACAATTTATATGTGTCTGTGTGTTCCTGGGTTCTATATACAAGTGTTTCAACTTGTTAAAACTTTGTCAGAACAATCAAAGAAAAAGAAAGAACAAAAGAAGAAAAAAGGAGCTTACTTATTGCGGAATCCGCTTACAATTCACAAACTACACAGTTTGGCCTCGTATTGATATGGAAATAATATGATTAGCATTTTAATAGTTGAATAATGGAAAAATGCTAGCCATACAATTTCATGCATTTCCAGAAGTGAAGTAAATCAAAGGCATATAATTATTATTTTTTCATATATGGAAGTTCGATGACTAGCATTTTTCCAAAAGCCGAGAAAAAATTGATTAGTTTTAAAGTTTAATCTCTCTCAAAATTTTTAGGCGGTGTCCGTAACCAAACACAATCGACAGAGACTTTATTTACTCAAAAACAGAGTCGCCACAGGTTTTACCGTCTAGCAATTTCGATTCAATGGAAACGGCCTAAATTGTCTTAAATTTGTCATTCAAAAACTTTCAAAAATGATTTCTTTTAATTTGAGTTTCCAGTTAATCATTCATTGATTAAGGCAAACAAAAAGTTAAAAAGTTTCCAGTTAAAAAGGGAGCGTACTTATTGCGGAATCAGCTTAAAATTCAAAAAACACACAGTTTGGCCTCGTAATGAAAATGGTTTGATAGCCTTTTTTTGACAAAATTTTTTTTTATTTATGACATTACCTCGACTTATATGCCAAAACAAGAAAAATTTGCTTCGAAAATTCGATGACTCTATTTTTGCAAAAAATATGAAAATTGTATGATTCATTTTTTTTCATTGACTTAGTTTATGGAATTGTATGATTAGCATTTTCGGTCTATGGAGGTCAGCCCGGGTAAGAACTAGATTCAATTTTTTTTTGTTATTTTTCTGGACTGGGTAATGCTGCCTCAGTTTCAAGCAACGAGAAGGGATCTTAGTGGGCCTCGAACATCCAACTTTTAAATTAAGAGGCGGAGACGTTACCACTTCATCACCGCTTTTGAAAAAGAGTTTAGATGCCCAGAACAGCAGTCATTTCTTTTATGTTGGGTGGCGTGTGGATTTGCAAGAGCTCAGCGTAGATGATTTGTTGAAACGAAACTGAAAATTGAATATGTAGCCACAGGGGCGAGTGTTTTTTTAGGTCGACCAAACTGATTTTTCGAGCTCTCCAAAGCACTAAAAAGCCCCTGTTTTGGTCAAATTTTGTGCACCGGAGGCAAAATTTTGAAAAAAAAAACAGGCCAAAAACGGCTTTGGGTCGGCAGGGGATCGAATCTCATTCTCTAAAGAGGAAAAAGAGGCGTTCGCGCCCTTCCCCAATCCGCTCCCGTGTAGCTACCTCATCTTTTGTCAGTATAATGTTTTTCGAATTACTTTTATTTCTAAAAAAAAATTAAAACCCACGCTTTATCGATATATTTGTATTTCAAGTTTCAGCGGTTTTTGGTTGTACCAGTTTACAGTATTTTGTTAGTATGCGCTTGTGATAATTGAGTTCTCACTTAGTATTATAGAAACATCTGTCGTGCGAGTGAGACGTTATTTCGACATTATTTCGTCTGCAGTGTGCTTGAGCCATTATTCTTTTTTGTAACAATTTGCTTATAAGCACCTGCATTGATTTATACCTATACAAGTTGATGATGGTCTTATTTGCTCAAATTCCGTGCGTTAAAAAAGAGAGCGCCGCTGTTACGTTTAAAACACGCATCGTTTGTTGAAGCAAAGCAATAGCAATAAACATCGAAGCTACTCTGTTTTGACTTACACATTTTAGAGAACATACAACGCATTAAGATGGCTAAAAATATATACAGCTAAAAAAACTACAGTATGTGACACATCATCAGCTCACGTTATATGATTTGAAATATTTCTCAATAATTTTCAATAATAATTCGAGATATCATGAGTCGAATAAAGCTAGAAAAACAGATTTCGTTTGCACCTGACTGTGAACTCGTGAGGACAGCGCCTTCCGAGCGGTTGTCCGAGAACAACCCAGAAGCCGAAGAGCCAAACTCAGATAATGTTGCTAAAAACGACAATCGTTCGGCCACTAAGTTACCGGCGCTTCCCTCGGCTGTAGAGAGTCAACTGGAGAACACGAACTACGATGTGTGGTCGCGACAACAACCTCAACCCGAGCAGAGCAGCGGCATCACCTCTCGGCGGAAGCCAGGCGAGAAAAGTGTAGTTCGAAGATTCGTTAGGGAAATGCCGAATGTGCTTCTTGACAAGTAAGTGGCAATCAGATTTTTGGCGGGAAAAAATGAAACTGAAATGAACGTGCAGTTTTTTTAAACTAATTTTCTGGCAAAAGCGTGAATTTTTGGGGATATACCTGTTTTGTTTTGTCTCGAAAATTGTTAACTAATCTGAAATGAAATCAATTTTTTTGTACTTATCAATCATTTATGCTTGTTAGTTTTCTACTTAAAAATCGCCGGCCTCAGTTAGTCTTCTGTTGATTGTTTTTTACAAGCCGATAACAGTAATTCGACTTACTAACGCTCGGTTGTTCCTGTTTTTTGCATCGAAATATAGCTCAAAACTTAAAGAAGGAATTTAACACAATCACAGGCTTCAAGGAATCTGAAGTTTTAAGAAGGTAACATTTAGTTATTTTTTTCTCCCAGCTATGGTGCCAAATTCGGAAGACCAACCACAGCATGCAGCAGTGCCTGCCAGCACCCCTGGCTGCCCCGGACCAAACTGAGGACAGAAGAGATCCAGGCTCAGAAGTTGGCGGGGGAACTGAGTCTGCTGCGGACCCAGATCAAAATAGCCCAGAAGCACCTGAACGAAGTGCGAAGACGACGGGACCAGTTACTGGAGTCAAATATGGCCGAACAGGTACGGCACACTATTTTATTATGGCGCTTTTAAACTCCTCTTCCCCACTTCAAAAATCTATTTGCATAGTTGTTGAATGTACTAGTAAGGCTGCATGCGTGATGTTACAATGTCAATTATGAAGAGCAAATTTGTTCAGGTTTGTTAGGTTGACAACATTAAAATGGTTTTCAAACCTGAATTTCAAATTTGTGAGGGGTCTTGAAAAAGAGCCTTTGCTTTTATTTCATCTTCTCAATCGAACAAGGACTTTTTTCGATAAAATAATAAACACACCTGATTAATAATTTGTCAAATCAATCTTTTCCTCTGAAGATCAGAGTCAACCTTTTTTCATTTACCTAAAATTATTTTTTATTGATAGTGAATTAATTAGCTTGTCAAAAGCTTTTACTAGTTCGTCAAAAAAAATACATTTTGAAAATTTCAGTTCGACGTTCGGCTTGACGAAATTATCCGATGTGCTTCTAGAAACTTCCCTTAACTTCTAGAAAATGTCCGTTAAATATATTAAAAAAAGTTTTAATTAACGAAGGTTTCAGTTTGTGCCAAATCAGTTTTGAAACCTGAAAAAAGTTTTGACAGTAAAAGTTTGTTGATAGGAGCGCATGGTGAAAATGGAGGAAGGAGTTCACAAGGACGTCTCCAACCTCATTGTAAAGTACGGGAAGTTCCGCGGGGCAGCAGAGAGTGGGCAGAAGTTGTTTGAGATGCAGAAGCAACAGTTGGACAAAGAAGTGGAGGAGACTAAGATATTCGTGGAAAGGGAACTGGCAAAGGAACGGATTGAGGTCGGGATTTTGGCGTTTTCAGCTATAGTACTGAGATACGCAAAATGAACGTTTTATTCGAAAAGTTGCAAGCAACCTTTTTAAGGCAAAATAAGGCAAACTTTTTTTCAAAAAAATTACCTCTTTAAAACTGCGAATAAAGGGTTTTCATGCATATTTACTCCTCAACCAAAAAAGCCTTGATTTCATTTTAAAACCTCACCGTACAGGCTTCTGTATACGATTCACATATACAATGCTAACTGGCACCTTAAATTATTCTATATTTTTTGCCTAGTTGCATCTGCTAACACATTTTCCAGCAAAAAAAAACCGAAATCCGATAACTCGAAATTTGAACGCTTGACTTATTTTAGGTATTCTGCTCGATTATATTTTGACTTGTTTTACGAATTTGTGTTTTCGAGTATAGCTCAATAAAGTTTCAAATTTGTGTTCGTCTTTGTGATCGACTATGTTTCGACCACACTTTGTACTCAAATTTTTGCTCATATTTGCGAATATGTTTCGAAAATGCTATTTCGGAGGGCTGTTTTTGACCACGGATTTTGGGTCCGACATCATTCGTGTGTTCGATTAAGTTCGGTCGAAAAATGGGTCGAACACTTCAGCCCGGGAAACCTCCAGATTATATAAGAAAGTGTCGATGAAACCATAAATTATCATAACAATGATGACAATCGTCCTACTCTCATTTCTTGTTCCTTTTGAGAATAATACACTTGCCTTATGACTTGTCTACGACATTTGAATTTTATTCTTTGTCGAACCTAATTTTGCCACATTTTTGACATGAATATGCCGCCAAATTAGTAAACTGAAAGACTCAAAACTCAAAAATCAAAAAGAAATCATTTAAAAAGAAACAACTAAACTACGATCTGAAATTGGAATCTTAATCATCCAAAACGTATTGCCATTGTCATTGGCGCACAATAGTTTTTAAAAAAAGAAACCGAAACCAAGGTTTTTTTTGTTTGAAAAATCAACGAACACATCAACGAACACATCAACGAAGTAATCATATTGTTTACTTTTTTTTTCTTTTTTTTGGATTGTAATTTCCAAAGAAAAAAAAACTCAAAATCATTTTTTTTGTTACAATACAATTGCGAGGGTTCCATGTAATCAAAGGAATTACATATTGGCCATTTTACATTTTGTCTGACACGTCAAAACGTGAATTAAGTTTAGGAAAAATAGTCAATTAAATATGAATTCAACCTATGATGCTGTTTTCAAAGTCATAGAAACAGACGTAGAATTTTTAGCAAAAGCAATTAACCAAGCCATAAGCGATTCCGACGAACTACAGATCATAAACGATTTCTTAACGGAATTGAAGAGCTTGCTTGACGATGCCAATAACGAAGCAGTCAAGATAATACGCACCGGAATGGACCAGCAAGACTCAATCATTGAACGAATGAAAACTTTGAAAGTTTTGTACCGAACGATCCAACTACAATCAAAACGATACGAGCGTACCCTCAACAACACTGCCACGTCTTCTTTAAACTCATCACGAGTAGCCAGCAACGTCTCGACGCCTTCAATAATACGACAAGCCTTGGAAAATCTTCCCCTTCGACGCCAAACGGAAAGTTTAACCCGTAGTACCACTACACAAAACGTCACCATGGACCAGGACACCCCGGACGATTTGCCACAATTTTCTGGATTGCCAGCAATCTTAAACGCTACTTCAAGCCACAGATCAAATTCCGCCCAGGACAATTCAGGACTCCTACTTCGCCCCGGATCTAACAGCGACGCCAATTACCTTGGATCATCGCATTCATCAACAACAAACAAAAACTCTTGGAACTCAAACTGCCCATGGAACTCACCTCCTTCCTCAATCAAACCTCTCATTGAGGCAGCCGAACGCCGACTTGTCCCAAAGTTCAAACCTTCAGCCGAACCACCCAGAAGCTCAACTTCAAGGAACGACTATAGAATTGAACAATGGAACTCAACTCCAAATCGACAATCAGCAATTGACAGCAACAGTGGGACAAAGACCGAACTCAGAAGCTCAACTTCATGAAACGTCACCGCACTCCAACCCTGGAACTCAAATCCAAGTTTTCAATCAGCAGATGAACGCACCAGCAAACCGACAAAGAAATGTTTCAGCGCCAATATTTCTTCCGACAGCAACTTCAAAAGCAGCTCAGAGTCAAATGATTGGACAGCAAATCACACACCCAATTCTTGCTCCCCAGACAGCTAGCCCCCCACATGGACTATACCGGCCTTCAAGCCAACAACAGAACCAGCCTTCAAGCCAACTACAGAACCAGCCTTCAAGCCAACAACAGAGGACACATAATCCGAATAGCGCCTTTAGACCCATCTTGACGATTGGAAATCAGAATACAACCAATCATCCCCCCAAAACGTGTTCAGTGGACACCAGACGACAGCTAAGGGTATCACAAACATCAACGGAGTACTGATACTAGCACAACCAGCACTACTGCCAACAAACCAAGGAGATCAACGAACAGCAACAAATTGGACCTCCAGCCAGCCGACCCTGACTCACCAATGTACACAACTTCCCATACGATCGTACCAGGAAGGATTTCTGGGAACCACGACAGCATACAACCCTACGAACATGCCGACATCATCAACAACAGCCTTCACTCATGCAGGCTGCAGGGGACCAACAGGAACAACTCACCCAAATATCAACCGACCTCCCCCTCATCAACATGCAGTCCATCAACATGCAGCACATCAACCTGCAGCACATTAGAACCAGCCAACTTATTTTCCGATTCCGACCAACCTTGGAAGAGCGCCGACAGACCACAACCATCATCAAACGATCTCGAAGACATTCAGGAAATCAGTGCCCATTGTCAAACCATTCATATTCGACGGAGAACCTGAACAATGGTTAGATTGGATAGGACTGTTCAACGCAACCATATCAGCACCGACATGACAAACTCGGAAAAGATGACACATCTGCAGAAACTTGTATTCGGAGATGCCAAATCTCTCATCCGAGGATATGGATGCAATGGAGCAATGTATGACGCAGCCCTTCAGCGACTGGAAAACGACTTTGGTAACCCGACGAAGATAGTTACATCCTTCCTTTGACGACTCGACGCCATCAGCGGCCCCAATCTACGACATACCAGAAGCTACAAGGACCTCGCCAACTTCGTACAGACAATGGTCGATACATTCACGACACTTGGATTCCAGCACGATCTACACTCTACGACAAATGTCCAAACAGTTTTGTCAAAACTGCCTACCACTTGCCGACTAGAATGGAATAGATACAATCTGCAATGCAACATCAGACAACCATCACTCATCGACCTCACCAATTGGTTCAACATCTACACCGAAGCATGCAGCGATTTGCCGAGCAACAGCAACAACAACAACAACACCAGAAACAGCAGCAGCAGCAACAACTACAACAGCAGCAACACTCAAGGATCATCATCCAACGGTCACACCCACCAACATGGACCATCAGATCACCGCGCCAATCAGAACAACCGGAACCAGCAACCCAGCCAGCAGCAACATAAATCTGGACAAAAGGATCAACGACGAGATTTTTGCCCGGAGAATCGCAATGAACCCAAAGGACAGATTACAGCAATCCAGGGACCTACAACTATGTTTCAACTGCCTCAGCCCCCACAAGTTCGCCGACTGTCAATCAACGCAAACCTGCTGGACGGACGGATGCAGTAAGAAACACCACACACTTCTGCACAACAGCAGCACCTACAACTCGACGACACAGAGGGAGACAGCCAACCGGAACTCCAGACAACATGACGACACCACCAACTGCAGCACCAGCATAAGCAGAAGGAAATCGACTCGCCACATTCCGACCCTGCCAATAACGATCTCTCATGGCAAACAGAGAGTTCATGCCTATGCAATGCTTGATTGTGGAAGCAAACTGACATTGCTTAAATCATCAAACGCCCTCCAACTCAAACCAGATCTGCAATTAGACGACACCATCCAGCTAAACCAAGCATTGACATCATCAGACACAGCTTCTACAAAGATGACGATCGCGATTGGACCCTGCAACCAGCAAAAGTAGCCATTTCAACTAAATGACATGGACGTCATAATGGATTGGAATCTTTCCCAATTCAACCCTGAACTCGTCAACTCCATCTGCCAAAGGAACGAGCCACTTCAACACATTCGGATAGCCACACTGCCCTCGAAAGAAATCGGAATCATCATTGGATGCGATTTCGCCGAACTCGTGACACCTTCAGAAGCAATCCATTCAAAACAAAATGTGCCTCTTGGATGGAAAACGCCACTTGGATTGTCTCTCTGTGGACGAGACAATGCAGCGACACCCAACGACATCAACACAATCAACTTCACGACAGACGATACACTGTTTCGCCACGTAGCTGAATGGATGAAAATGGACGCCGAAGGGATTTCAACTGACCAACGCAGCCTCTCAACAGACGACAAGGAAGCTCTCCGCATCTTGGAATCTTCAACAACCCTGGAACTCAAATCCAAGTTTTCAATCAGCAGATGAACGCACCAGCAAACTGACAAAGAAATGTTTCAGCGCCAATATTTCTTCCGACAGCAACTTCAAAAGCAGCTCAGAGTCAAATGATTGGACAGCAAATCACACACCCAATTCTTGCTCCCCAGACAGCTAGCCCCCCACATGGACTATACCGGCCTTCAAGCCAACAACAGAACCAGCCTTCAAGCCAACTACAGAACCAGCCTTCAAGCCAACAACAGAGGACACATAATCCGAATAGCGCCTTTAGACCCATCTTGACGATTGGAAATCAGAATACAACCAATCATCCCCCCAAAACGTGTTCAGTGGACACCAGACGACAGCTAAGGGTATCACAAACATCAACGGAGTACTGATACTAGCACAACCAGCACTACTGCCAACAAACCAAGGAGATCAACGAACAGCAACAAATTGGACCTCCAGCCAGCCG